GACAGGTAAGATAGTGGATGACGATAAAGATTCTGATTCTAGCACAAGGAGTAATAGCAGCAAGTTAACTCAGGAATGGCTAGAAGAAGCTAGGCGCATGGTGGCTTCATCTTCTTCTCGCCTTGTTGGTGAGCCTAGGTTCTGTGCAGCACAACCAGGGAGGCTTTCGATGTCATCATCACTTGAAGGCAGAGACCCTCTCTCCAGGTCTGCTAGAAGGTATTTGATCACCTCTTCTTTGCATCTAACATTCACTCATTTGATCAAATTCTGTGATTGTTTCTTATCCAATAATATGAATTTGTCTCAACTCTCAACAGGCACAGGGCAGTGGAAGAATTCAGTGGAGAAATTCTATCAAAATCAGCAAAACACAGCCGCAACAAATCAGAAACTCTAGACACACTTGACTCTCCTATCGATATATCCCCTACCGAGGCAGCCCACAAATGGTTCTCCAACATCATCAAACCGACCAATCACACAGCATTATCTAGTGGACCAACCTCTCCGACCCATGATCATCAAACTGCAGCCCCCACTTTGCCATCTAGGCAATCAACCTTACGCAAATCACGCTTCCAAGTAGACCCACCTGCACCTCATGAACAAGGAATCCCAGTCCCCTCTCGCAGAGCTTTCAAAACCCAAGCTCCATTGCATGACACCCAGTTGCTTTCTCCACCAAAAAACCTCATTGAGTCGGCTCAGAGGAGGTCAATATCGTCTTCCACCTGTTCTTTTGCAGAGAATAAGCCTCTTTCACCGCCAAGGAACTTGGTGGAGTCTGTTCAGAGGAGGTCGGTATCTAAGTCTACAGGTTCCATTGAAAAAATTGCACCAAGTAGCAGTGTAAATGATTGGTCCAAGGAAAAAGATGGAACTCGAGGGATTAGTCTTAATGAATTTCTCAAGGAGCAGAGAACAACGATTAAGATGATTTTGAATGAAGAGGTTGAATCCAAGGCCAAGATTGTCCTCTCTGGACCTTCAAACAGTTAAGTATTAGTGATTGTGAATTAATCTAATGCTGATCATGTGAATAAATCTAGAAGGAAAGTTACCTTCTATCTAATGAAAGCTAAGCAGAATCAATTTATTTGTGGATTATTCAATTTTAAAATATGAGGTTTTGGGTATATAGGTGCAAGTTCCATGGTGGCAGCTATATGCTATGCATGGCTACTAGAGAACAGGGCTAGGAAGAGTAAAGAAGAGGGTGATGAAGATGGGTGTATTGTTGTGCCAGTGATGAATATGAGAAGGGAAAGAATGTGGAAGCAAAGACAGGTGGCTTGGCTTTTTCACCATGTTGGCCTTGATGCTACCTCACTGCTCTTTGCCAATGAGGTACTTTAAACTTTTCTGTTTGAATCATAGTTCTAATTGAGACCAAATTACTCACATTGAAATGATGAAATTAATGTGTTAACTATGAAATTAGTCACATTGTTCTTATTCCATGCCACATTTCTTGTTGCTGAACAATTAGTTTCATTAGTTGTTGCCTTCTTCTGCTAATTTTTCGGATCAGGTGGATCTGGAGAGTCTGATGATGGCTGGCCAGATAAGCATCAGTGTAGTTGGGGAAGATATTCTCAGAACAAATGGAGAGGTTTGTAATGTTAGTCATGAATAGTTAGAAACCTTATCTCTGTGGAATTACACCTAGCATAAGCCTTTTGTTTTTGTATAGGTTGGATCCCACTGTACAATTCTGACAGATAATTATTGTGAAGATGCATATGATCTGCTACAGACCCCAGTGCTGAAAAAGCTTTTGGTAAATTTCATTCACTATTCTCCAGAACAAATTTGTTAAACTGGCAATTCTGTTGTGGGATTCTCACCGGTTTCTGATGTTAACAGCTTGCTGGCATTCTTTTAGACACACAAAATCTGAATGCATATGCTAAACTATCCATGACTAGAGATTCAGAAGCAGTTCAGCTACTGCTGGTCGGTTCAGCCCCGAATTATAGAAATGCTCTTTTTAATCAATGTAAGAATTTTCATTACTATATAATATCAGTGACAGAATTTGGTTCATGCATATATTATGAGATTAATTATCCAATTTCTGGGCTCTTTTGTTAGTGATGCAAGATCAAAGGGACAATTCCTTCTTCGAAGCATTGCGACACAACTATGAGAAGCCCCCTAATGATGGTAAGCAATATAGTTGGTCAAGTCCACTAGTCTTAGCTTATGGAGATTACATTATATGTGCTTTCAGAGATTCCACATTCTATTATATTTGAAGTCCTCAGACCGTTCTTCTAATTTTTCTGGTGACTGTAGGTGGTTATGATAATGGAGTACAGATGGAGCACATGATCCCTGAGAGGAAATCAACCTCTATTTCTCGTCTCGAGGCTTCTGCACAAAATTCAAATAAGAATACTAATGATGCAAGGAATGAAAAAGTAAACAAAGCTCCACCAAAATCAGGTTGTGCAATTTATTCCTTTGACCTTGAATACAACAAGCACATACTAATTTCATAATACAGAAAATTTGAATAGGAAAAGTTACAAGCATGCAAGTCTTCATATTGAGTGTTGGTAGCTGTACTCAAAACAACATGTTGTTCTGTTTGTGTCTTTGTCCCGATTCCTTCAAAAGCTGAAGCTGTTAACACCACTTGAACCTTGCAGCAAAGCCTAATCCATTTCCCGTGAAAGCTCCGCCGGCAGCACTTGAAGCCTCTAATGGAAAGAACAAGTTCTTCCTGGCAAAATGGTTTGGTTTTGGATCAAAATGAATTGAAAATGGAAATGTCTTCATCTATCTGGCTATTGTAAATTTGGTAACCTAAAATTCCAATGATCGAACATCAAAGCTGGCAGTCAACACTATTTTTGTTGCAGTCCAAAATTTATAAACATATTTTTCTTCTTAGGTATTCTTTGGCAGGCTGCAACACGTTTTTGAGTGGTAGAGTAACAGAAACCAAGGATGTATCAAGAAAAAATGTTGAAGCCGTCAAGATTGCTACTTAATGATAAACATTACTATTTAACACGTACTATTTTTGTATTATAGACAATAATGTATTTATAACCATCATTGTCGTCTTTGTTGTTATTGTTGATGTTGACAAATAACAATCTTGTTCTTGTCAAAAATATTGAATTCCCTTGCCTGTCTACTACAAATCAAGAATTGTTTCAGGATTATCTTGTTGAAGAATCGCTTTCTATTGCCGGCTTGATTATCAAATTCCAGGCTTTTCTCTAGCATCCACACCTTCTTAATCCAGCAACCACTGGATTAATTGTATGGTTTACCATTTGGTTTGCTGAGAAATAAGTATTTTTTATAGGTATTGCTCCTCTGTCACCGTGGATTTGAACTGAAATCAGAACTTCAAATATCCCATGAAATAAATTTTCTTTGTCGTTGACATTGCATAAGATATTATGGATAGAGTTCTTTTGTTGTTCAGGCTCCAAAATGGAGTAAAATAAAGTGATTCCATTTAATAATTAGCAGATAGATTATTCCAATCCTGTAAAGGGTAAGGATTGCTCAATTGACTAGATTTTTTTTTTTTTTCATTATTGTCCCAGTGCCACATTTTTGCAACCATTACCATGTAGTTGCATGATTATTCTAATCCTATAAAGGGTAAAGATTGCTCAATTGACTAAATTTTTTTTTCATTATTGTCTCACTGCCACCTTTTTGCAACCATTACCATGTAGTTGCATGAGTTTTCTTTAACAACTTATCTTTCAATCATTTCTCAAGATGATGTGGAGATTCATATCTAACTTACAAGGTTTTATCCACTTTGAGCTGAATGTCTTATGGTTTTATTTTATAAAAGGCATCTCACATGTTTAAAGTCCCTACATATATCATAACGGATCTTCATAATATCCTAATGTGAGATCGGAGTGTTACAGATGGCTAGGATCTTGTGTATTTAATCATCTTCATTTGTAACTGTGCCATTTTTTTCCAGGGTTGAATTTGCCCATCCATTTGCTATTGTTGTTGAAAACTGTGAACCAATTCAATCTTAATGCTACATTTTCTTGCTTTAAACAAAATGTCACATGGATATGGATGGATAAGTATTGGTATTATACTTACCATTTCAAACTTATGTTAAATGTCTGTCATATATTAGGTTAAGAAGAACAAAAAATGAAGATTCTGCACAAAATTCTTGATGTATCTTTTGGCTTCAGTACTCCTTTAGATTTTAGGAAATAATGCAATATCTTCTCTGCTGTGCAAAATGCAACAATAGAATGATGGAAAATCTACACCATCAAATTGCTCTAATAATGGGGAGATATTCTGCTGAAAAACTGCCCCTTGTTGTTAGAGTGCAAAAACCTCAGATTTTGTGGCAATTCCTCCTTTTTTGCCTTTGATGAAATTTTGCTTGATTTGATGATAAAATCTTCGGACTCTTTTCAGATTGTAAAGTGATAAACCTAGCATGAGTTTCCATTACTCTAGACATCCTGAAGCAAGCAATGAACAATAAAAAATGGAAATCAAAGTTAACTGAATAGAACTATACATCCATGTGCAGTGCACAATCAAACAAAAAGCCTTGCAGTTAGTGATTTTATTATCATCAGTAATAGCTCCATCTAGCATCAGCAATGTTCTGCTTGATACAGACATTCACTGTCCCAAGAAAAATATTGTCGATCCTTTTCCTTGTTTATATATAAAATTTGGAAATGATACATAATATTGAAAGGAGCTTGCTCACTTATCTAGACCAGATCAAGCAAAAAACAGCTTGCTCACTTATTAAGCATGTATCTGATACAATCTTCATTGTCCAATCCTGGCTGTAACTGATTCCCAACCCCTCCTTGGGGCCCCCCTACACCCTCTTTTCTGTCCAAGCTGCATCCTCACCACTCCATGCTGACCCATAACATGAAGATTGAGGCACCATTTTGCTTCACAACCTTATTCTTATGGCATTGATGATGATGTAACCTTTGGGGTTGATTAACGTGTTGCTCTCATTCATCCTTCCAGGCATACAGAAACAAGCAAAATTCGGATGACCCACCAGGATTAAGCCCTTCTAATGAACCACTGCTCCCTGTCTGAGATGACAATGGTGTAGATGGCAAGGATGATGATAATGGTGGGGAGGAAGATGTTGACAGAGATGAAAGAGAGGTGGGTGATAAAATAGGCTTGAATATAAACAAAGCATGCCTTAAACCACGAATAAAAAGCCAGTCATGAACATCCCAGTAAACTTCTACTCTAGTTTTGTTGACATGGATGGATTCATTGCCTCTGAATTTCCATTGAAGATGCTTGACACGAAGGACCGAATGCCCATCAATTCTTATTTCCATTTCAGGCTCGACCCCACCTAATGAATTGATATTACTCATGTTGCCACTGGTTGTACTTCTGTTCTTGCACTCAATTGAGATCTCATGAAACCTACCTTTCTCATGGAATTTAACTCTTGTGGAGAATTTATTTTTGCCAAATATGTGCTTCTTTCTTGAAACCAAAATGGGGTCAATAAGAGCAGGCCTGCATCCAGCTTTCCTGTATGCATCTTTCTTTAGATCCCCAAGAAGTAGAACAGCCTCTTCATCACAAACAACAGCAACATAGTACTCAGAACTAGGCTCGGTTTCACCATTGAATTTAGCAGCCTTCAGGTCCCATGAGATTTCAACAGCTTTACCATCCACTATAAAGCGTTTGGAGCCTTGTTTCCTCCAAAAATACCAAAGTTTCAGCTCAACTTTACAGGTATACTGACCCTCTCCCTCGGGGCCCTCAACTGAGACTGAGAGGCCATGAAGCAACACATTCTTGTACCAAGTGACAGTGATCAAACGGCAGTGATCGGCAATCTTTGTGCGGAAAACAGACATGAAAACACTCTGGCCAGACCTTGTTACTGCCGTTGGATCATCACTCGGCTTCTCACCTGATGAAAAACATGCAGGAATCCCAAAAGGGTCTTGCATGTTTATTTGCAAATTTGATCAAGCTGAAAATGAACTAATCTAGATATAGTCGGCAGAGCCCAGATTACAGCAAGAAAAAGTAGCCAACAAGATGAGGAAGTGTGAGAGAGATATCGGTCACAAGATGTATTAGTCATACAGAAGCTGCCAGAAGTGTCCTTGGCAGCATTAATGGCTATTAAAATAATAATTTCAAACTGGCAAATATATGGCAGTGAGAGAGATTGAGTGAAGAATATACCTTTTTATATTGCAATGCTCATCTTTCTCTTACCTGGATCTTTATTTTTAATTGTTTTGTTTTTAGTACTTTGTTCTGTTTCTCAGTTTACTTTTTCCTCTGGACAAATTTATCGAATCCTAGGTTGGTTCTTGGAATACTTATTCCCATGCATGGTTAAAAGTGGAGAAACCCATGTTTTTCACCAGATTTGGAGTATAGATTTCCAAGTTCCCAAGATAGAGTTCTCAAGGTCATTGACAGCACATGAAGTGGGGTTGATTAAAAAAGGTAACAGGTCAAAATTATTTCCAAAGATGAAAAAAAAGTTGGTTTTCCGAGGTGGGTCTTTCATGATCTTTTATCATTTGTTAAAAAAACAAAGAAAGTTACCAACACATTACAATTTGTAATTGGTGGGTTTGTTTAGCTTTTAACTTTTCTTTAAAGGTGTGTAAGAGAGGAATCTAGGGAGTGGTATGCGATGCTGAAAAACCTGGAATCTACACGGTTGCAGTTTGTAGCAGATCTGGTCCAAACTCTAGTCTCCACACTTGGTTTCAGGCTACAATCAGGTTTTCACAGTCCTAGCCATCAGTCATTTTTGCAATTTAGCAAGGAGAAAGAAGAGATGAGATGACCATCAGTTGAGATTTCAATATCCCACCATATGAGATTTAAATGCCATAATTGGAGTGGTTTTTTCAAAAACTGAAACTTCAGATTTTAGACATTTCACTTGTTCATATTTAGCTTAAAGAAAAAGGTAGTACTTTAGAAGCTGAAGAATTAAAATACTTATGAACTTAGGTATCCTACTGATATCCATGATTTTCTTACTTCAAGAAACTGAAAATTATTTTTGCAAGTAACTCAGATGTTTTCCTTATATTTGCTTCTGGAAGCCTGCATATATAGTTTCTTGCGGATTATGAAGATTACTATAGGTTATCTAATTTATTCAAAGCATGGGGAGGAAAAAATGCAGAATGTAAAATAGAGAAATGGTGGTCACCTAAAACAAAGCCATCAATTCTTTGCAGCAGTTGAAGGGTCAAACAGGAATGATTGGATAAACAACAAAGGATAAGGAAATTAAAAGAAATGATGGTTAATGTTCCTTTGACAGTTAAATTTGACAGGTGCAGCTGGATTTCCCAGGAATACTATTTTCCACCATTATACAGGTAATGCAGTTGCCCTGCAATTTTTTTTTTTTTTTTTTTAAAAAGGCCCCAATGGATATGAAAAATGGTATCAGTTGTTACATTAAAATATCATATTTCATTTAAATCAATTTTTTTAGATTAAAATATTAAAAAATTCTTAAACCATTTTTTTAAATAAATTTTTATAACTTTTGTTGTACCTAAATAAACTCTTACCCTTTGATTTTTATCCAAATAAACAATTACTTCAAAATTTTTTATTTATGTTAAAAGCTTATTTATGTACAAATTAAATATTAAAGATTTGTTTAGATACAAATTAAAGGATAAAAGTTTGTTTAGATGCATATTAAAATTTAAAATTTTATTTGAATATAATAAAAATATAAAGGTTTATCTAAATAAAATAATAAAATTCAAAGACTTATTAGTTATTTTTGCCTTTTTTTTAACTGGTAGTATATGGTAATTGATTAATAATTAATCAACTCAATTTGCCCTTAATTATAACACAAAATTCTTTTTTTAACTTGTAGTAGCTGCTGTAAAAGGTTGTGCTACTCTTAACTTTTTTATTGTGAAGATCTGCACCCAACTTGCAAGATATTGTCCGATCTGAAAGTTTCACGATTTTATCCTACAAAAGGTGTTTCGTAAGTTTGAGATTAAGTCTCTAATATATATCATTCCTTATCCACACATCATCTTGATGTAGGATCGGGGGCGTTACATTTATATTCAATTATAAAATGATAATTGACTTTATTTTTTACATTGCATGTAAATTTGAGAGAGATTTATCAATTGTATGGTATGTTTATGGTAAAAAATAAAAAAAAAAATTGGTATGATTATCAGAAAATCGAATTTTCATTATTAAAATTAAAAATACAACACTTTGTGATCCAACATTAACATATTTGTTGGCAAACCTACTAAAATTACCATCATAATAGCTTTAAAAGAATGGATTAAAACCCTAGGGAAATTACTTAAATGTACCATGAACCAACTAAACAGTAATTTCTATTGGTTCAATGAAAGTGAAAGTTTGGATTCCATCGCATCTTTAGTGTAATACAATTGAGTTCATCAAAATTCAAATACTAATTCCAACGAGATCCATTCAGCATAATTTTTTTATAATTTTTTTTAATCACAGTTACAATAATTTTTATTATTATTTTTAATTTTATTACAATCAATCTCATCGTCCATCCAAATAAACTTTTAATTTAAGTAATTTCATTAAGCTAATTTAAAGTTTAACCCAATTAATTTATGCAGTCAATAAATTTAAAATTTAAATTTTAACCGATGTAACTTTTTTTTTTTCATTTTATATTGCAATCTCATTGTAAAAAATTAAAAATATATATATAATTTTTATTATTATTTTTAATATTATTATAATCAATTTCATCGTTCATCTAAAGAAACTTTTAATTTAAGTAATTTCATTAAATTAATTTAAGGTTTAACTCAATTAATTTATACAATCATCATCAATAAATTTAAATTTTAAATTTTAACCGATGTGACCCTTTCTTTTTTCATTTTATATTGCGATCTCATTGTAAAAAAATAAAAAATATATATATAAAAAATACCCCCAATTTGAATTTCTTTGCTTTGGCCCATGTAAATTGAGATGTGAATTACTAATGAAGTGTAAAACAAAGAAAATCCATTGCATGTAATGGGCAAGGATGGGCCTGGGATTATGGTAAAAACTACTTGGATTGACAACCGGTCCAGTCCAGCAAATTCAAAGCCGAATCATAACACGGTCTACGATCATTAAACCCCTGTTCTACTCTAGCAGGGTTTTGAGCACGGGAGGCTTAGTGATTCGCGGAATTTCCTTCTCCCATCACTTTCTCGCGTTTTCTCAGCAACCAAACTGGAATGTAGGAGCTGGCCCTTTTTTTAAATCCAGATAATGCAGTCGTTTACTGGTGGGAGCATGAGCATCCGGTTGGGTCGAAGACAAGGTTTTACGGCTGGAGCAGTGCTCATTTCAAAGCAACCACCAGAGCTTACTCGGCTACTTATAATAGCAGCAGCATAATTCATGGATCCTACTGTTCAATCAATTCTTCCAAGAATCAGCTCCTGAAATTACTAGGAGTATGGGTTTTTACTTTGCCTTGATTCTTTGGGTTTTGTTTTAAGTATTGTTTAAGTCGTTTTGCATTATGATTGTCTTGCCTAAATTTGTTTTCCTTTTCTAAGTTTTAGTGTATAATTTGACTGTTGAATTGCTGCTTAGTGAAATTTTTGAAGTCATGTTGCTTTACATGTTTTTGTAAGTCAAATTTTTGGAATCTTTGTCTGGAAAGCTTGTAAATTGGTTTAGCAGACAAGATTTGGATCCCAAAGCAAAGAATTGACGTTTCCTGGTAGCTATGGCGGATGTTCGATTCTGGGTTTGTCTCCATCGGCTGCCATGACGTCTACTTCTTCTAGCAGGTGTATCACAACAGCTGCCTCGCCTACTCTAGATTCTTCTGATTCTGTGCCTCCTCGAATTAAATTTAAGACACTTGATAAAACTGTCAGGCACATAATGCAGGAAAGTGTCTTTCTTCTTTGTCACTACCTTAATGGTTAATGGTATGTTTCTAGATTCCCATTTTGAATCGTATGGATTATGTACTTGCAGATTCTGGATAAGGAAGCAGTGGACGAAGTGAAGGGGCAGAGGGAGATAGCTGACATAAAGCCTGGCAACATTGTGTAACTCAACGTGGTATGACATGTTTCTACAGAGCAGGTGTCATTACTTCATGTGCTTGTTACATAGTTTTGAGGGGATTAAATTAATTTTGTGCTGTTGATGAGAACAGGAAGTACCTGAAAGCAAGCAACGTGTTTCAACCATAAAAGGCATTGTTATAGCTAGGCGTAATGCTGGCCTAAATACTACTTTTTGAATAAGGAGAATGGTGGCAGGCGTTGGGGTTGAATCTCTCTTGCCACTGTAACTAACATTCAGGTTTATATTCCTCTGAACTCAATTCTGGCATCAAAGGCATGTTACTTAAGACTTGATATATCAACCTGGAAGAAAGCATGTTAATGTTTTATTGGATGACCTGTAGGCAAGGTGCACTGAAGTTTTATCACTTGTCCCATAATAATATTGAGTTTGACTACATTGATGAAATCCATATCATTGAGAAATATAGTCACATATTGAGACAGAAATTATGTAGTTGCTTTAAGCAAGAGTGTCTCTAATCTAACAATCCCAATAGTCTCTTCAGTCAAACCAAGCATAGGGATAGGATGTTTTTTTTGTTCAACTTTATTAGTTCTATGAGATTCTGTACAAAATATGGACATGCACAAAGTATCTGATCCAGACTTGAAACCAGCAGCCCAGCACCCCTTATCAGTAGTTTAATTGTAAGTGTACATCCTCCAATTCTGAGATAATAAGCCCATGAGTTTGCATCTGCATGAAATTTCATTCTTTCATATTCAAGAGTCAACATGATAGAAACAGCCATCGTCCTTGGATTTCTATGATTCTTAGTCCTGTAAAGGAGCTTCTAGTTGAAGTTAACATTGGAATGACCTAGAAGAACAGCCCACTAGAATCCCTT